ACCTGACATTGCTTTTAGTGTTGGAGTGTGTGCTCGATTTCTGGCAGATCCCAAAGAATCACACTTAAGCTCTGTTAGACACATCATTAGATATGTGAGTGGTACTGTTGATCTAGGGATTTTCTATTCTAGAAATTCTAATCTTGATTTGGCTGGCTACTCCGACGTCGATTGGGCGGGGAATGCAGATGATAGAAAAAGTACTTCTGGGTGCTGTTTCTACATGGATAGCAATCTAATAGCCTGGTTTAAGTAAGAAACAAAATTTCATATCCCTATCCACGGCAGAGGCCGAATACATAGCAGTTGGAAGTTGCTGCACTCAGCTTCTCTAGATGAAGCAGATGCTGAGTGATTATGGGATTAATCAAGGGACCATGACTATTTTCTGTGATAATACCAGTGCTATAAATATTTCTAAGAATCCCATTCAACATTCTCGAACAAAACATATTGACATACGACATCATTTTATTCGTGAACTTGTTGAAACACATGTTGTCTCCTTAGATCATGTTTCTACTGACAACCAATTAGCTGATCTACTTACGAAACCACTAGATGGGATGAGGTTTGAGTCGCTTCGGACGGCTGTTGGTATTTTTTTGCCTATCTGATCATGAATTCATGCATTTATCATATCTGTACTTATTCATTTCATATCTTGTATGTGATAAATGTGTGTGTGGTGAATTTTGCTTGTTAGTTATTTTTTTTTTTGTTTTTATTTTGAGTATTAAGTTTGCATTTGAAATTTAAAATAAAAAAATAAAAAACAAAATAAATAAATAAATAAAAAATTTTGTGTGCATCGTGTATGACGTTATAATGTTTGCATTCAGGATCAAACTCTATTTTTCATCATGTGTACGAGTCTGAGGTTCCATCGTAGTTCTCACTTTCTGTGGAGTTCTTGGTATACGGCTCATCATGCATTTTCGCACAGCACACACTGTAATCCTGTATGTAGGTCTTGACCGCATGGGTGAGACTTGAGATGGTATTCTTCTGTGATTGGGGTTGTTTGTCCATTTGACTTGATCTGTGACGAGTGTAACCTAATCAATATTGTCTTTCCCCATT